GGGGGAATATGCGACTAAATTCGAGGAATTGGCCCGGTTTTGTCCCTACTCTGAGTTGGAAGTGGACGGATGGTCCAAGTTCTCTAAATTTGAATCGGGCTTAAGGCCCAAGCTGAAAAGAATGTTCAGACATCAGGAGATTGCTGATTTTTCTACTTTGGTCAACAAGTGCAGGATGTACGAGGATAACCTGAAGGTGGATGAGGTGGCGACACCCAAATCAATTTCCCCCCAGAACTATGGACCTCAACGCAACCATATGCATGGGAGAGGTAAAGAGAGAGTGGAGGATGATCGAAAACCTTATGTGGCACCTACTGGACATCGTGACAGAAATTTCCAAGGGTCGAGACCACCTACCGTTCCTAGCGGAGGGGTTTCTACTCCCATGTGCAACAAATGTGGCAGACTCCATTATGGGAGCACATGCCCAGGGTCGGGAAATGGATGTTTCCACTGCAAGGAGTTGGGGCACATTAAAAGGTTTTGTCCCAAGCTAGACCAGAGACTTAATGTCATTCATGCTGAGAGGGCAAGGGACCATGGTCGAGTGGCTACCCCGAGTGGCGTAGGGACATCAGGTGTTGATGATCCGGGTAAAGGTAATTGCATGGTGGCAGGTATTCATCATTTAATGTTGTCTGATTCGGGAGCGACACACTCCTCGTATTTGTTGAATATGTGAACCGACTGAGATTATACACAGAGTCGTTGTTTTCGACTTAGGTGTATCCACCCCACCTAGTGTACCGGGGGTGGGTATCGATACTGATGTCTCAGTGTACGGTTGGGTTAAATGGTAGAACCTTTACCATAATTTTGATACGCTCAATGATGTCCCAGCTGGATTTAATCCTGGCGATGGACTGATGGTCAGCAAATCGTGTTATGCTCAACTATGTGATAATTGTTGATGTGAAAGGTTCTTGTTCAGTATCTTAGTGAAGATTTAAGATCTAGTTTGCATTGATCTGTATATGTATGCTAAGGTTTAAAACTTATATTGCCAGGTAAGGAAGGAGGCTAGTTAAGTTACTTACCCCGTCAATGTGATGAATGCATTTGAATAAACGTGAAACTTTTGGTCTATGATGATCGGTCCTTTTGCAGTAGAACATTGGCAATGCATGATATAGTGGTGGTGTACACCAATTATCTGCTTTGAATGTTGTACGGACAAAAGTGGTTTCTATTTCAGGTGCGTCAGTAATTGCTATGCATGATTGTGGTGTAACCGCATGAGAGAAAGGGTTTTGAGTCATGTTGAAGTGATTATGTAAACTTTGTTCTCACGACATGGTTGCCATGAATCGCGTGTTCAAACCATTTTTGAAAATCATTCTTGGGTGAAACGTAGCTTGTGGCTAAACATTGATTTAGTATCATGTTGGAGAATCCCAAAATTTTAGCAACCGTATCTTGATAAATATGAGGTTATTAAAAATTTGGCGATACGATTATGACCATGTATTTCTAGACGTGCTGCAAGTGGAGTACTCAATTTATATTTGCTAGGGTAATTGGGATATCCACTCCTAACGTATGTTATGGGACTGAGTGTTTGTAAAATTTGCACTTGTCGAGTGGTAACAGAGTACCTAGTTTTGGGTGAATCAAGGGTTTCGTGTGTCCAATTGAGGCTAGGGATGGGTGATTTCTTTCTACTGTATGGTATGGTGGCAGAAATGTTTGAGGTAATTGGATAATTACTGGATAGTTTGGTTTTGTATGAGGGGAGAGACTCTAAAAGTCTTAGTTGTTTAGATGTTTTTGTTGAGCGACTACATTGGTTCTATGTGGTAGTGCATGTTGGATGTTAAATGATGCATTGTGGGGGATGAGGGGTAAGGAGTTCCCCATTCCCTTGGTTTCGGAAGTGTTATTGGGATTATCAATGTATGTGAGGATTGTTAGCTAGATAGGTCAAAGAGACCTATGATTCTTGATGAATATCGGGGAATCTTTAGTTCAGTTACAGTTTCGTTCTCTTAGTTGTTCGAGTTGTTCAAGATTGGGATCTTAGTATTTGGACCTTGAGGATATTGTCCATGAATTGGCCTTGTGATATCACGGTTTAGTGGTGTGTGCCCTTGGTGGTCGTTTAAGTAATCTTAATGGATTAGATGATCGAGTATGAATTTGGTTGAGTATATCTTATGGCTAAAGTCTAGGCGATGATACTATTTTCCGAGAGTAGGCTAATAAAATTTTCGGGGACGAAAATTCCTATAAGAGGTGAAGGATTGTAACACCCTAATTTTAAAGTCATTAAATTATAGTATCAGCCCTGGGAGTCTCGCTTGAGCGAGAGAATTGTCGCTTGGACGAGAGAGGCTCACCTGGGAGGGTGAAATCTTGGGCTATACTGAAGGATTCTCGCTTGAGCGAGAATTGTCTCGCTTGAGCGAGAGTGGTCTCGCCCAGAAAAGTGGCATTCAGGACTTGTCGAGGCTGTAAGATCCTCGCTTGAGCGAGAGCTGCCTCGCTAGAGCGAGAAATCCCTCGCTTGAGTGAGAGCGTCAGATCTGAAATTTTAAAAGGTAGGATTTTCTCGCCTGAGCGAGAATGGGCTCGCTTGAGCGAGAACCCGACGATTTCACTTTAAAATAGAAATCCCAAACACATTTTAGGGTTAGAAATTGAGAGAGAAGAGAGGAGAAGGTGATTTGGAGAGCAAGAATTCGTGGGAATCATCTAGGAGCTTGAGAAGAGGTAAATCTCTTGATTCTAACTCTCTTTCTCACTTTCAAACTCGTTTTTGGGTGTATGGATCTCTTCTCAAAGTATGAGAAACCTTGGAAACTCTTCATTTAGAGTTATGATTCGTTTTATGTTGTTTTTCTCTTGTAAAATCTTGATTTACAGTTGGTATTTGATGAAAGGAAAGGTTTTGTGGGTTTATTCATGAAAAACCCAAAACCCCCAAAATGAGAATATGAGTAAAAAGAGGAAATGGATGAAATGTTAAATGTAGAAGAAGAGTTTGTGCTCTAATGTTGATATATGAGATGAATATGTATGTTTTAGATGTTTGGAACTCGTATTGAAGTAGTTTTGGAAACCTTGAAAATATGTGAATCTCTTGTATGTTTGACTATGAAATATGAGTCGTTTAAGTGTTATTTTGAATAAATGACTAACATTGTTGTTATTGGTGGGAATGAGGAAAGATCCTAAGGTTAGAGGAAATCCCAGAAGAGACTTTTAAAGTTACTCGGAACTGACCCCAACGCTCACCAAGGTAAGGGATAAATGTTTCCATTTTATATGAGCTGATGTGGCTAAGGTATATGGAAGAGGTAATATGTTTGCAAGAATATTGTTGTTATCCTACCCAGAGTGGTAGTGGATTATTGTTGTTATCCTACCCGAAGTGATAGTTGATTATTGTTGTTATCCTACCTGGAGTGGTAGTGGATTATTGTTGTTATCCTACCCGGAGTGGTAGTGGATTATTGTTGTTGCCTATCCGAAGTGGTAGTGGATTATCGTGGTATAGACCTGTCCGTTGTGGTATGGAGTATGAACTAGACCTGCCCGATGTGGTTTGGAGAATTAACTAGACCTGCCCGATGTGGTATGGAGAATGAACTAGACCTGCCCGATGTGGTATGGAGAATTAACTAGACCTGCCCGATGTGGTATGGAGAATGAACTAGACCTGTTCGATGTGGTATGGAGAATTAACTAGACCTGCCCGAAGTAGTATGAAGAATTAACTAGAGCTGCCCGATGTGGTATGAAAAATTAACTAGACCTACCCGACGTGGTAGAGGATTATCTTTGTGGGAAAACTCGTTGAATATGATTAAGGGTGAATACGATTAATGGGTAATGAGTATGTTCAATTGAAGTAATATGCATGCTATAGAATATATATTATGGGATATATATACTATTGGGTGAATATGAATGATGAGAAATGTGTACGTTTGGAATGAAAGTAATATGCATGCTATAGAATATATATTATGGGATATATATACTATAGGGTGAATATGAATGATGAGAAATGAGTATGCTTGGATGAAAGGAATATGCATGCTATAGAATATATATTATGGGATATATATACTATAGGATGAATATGAATAACATGTAAATGGAAGAAAGGAGATACAAATGTTTATATTTATGTGTTTGTGATGATAATTTATTCCAATGCTTAATTATGTTTAAAATGTGGATTATCATGTAATGTTAGTCTTGAACTAATGACTTACTCCCTTGTTTTTGTGTGTTGTTTATGATAATCCCATTGTAGATACACGAATGATTTGAGGAGACGGCTCACCTAAGAATTTTATGCGTTTCTTAACTTGGATTTCTTTATCTATACTTTTGTATTATAGTTGTCTAAACACTATTTTGAGATAAATGAAATTCTGAGTATGGTAACACTGGATATGTGTAGTTATGGGCATTATGATTCTTGGATGCCCATAACTAGTTGTATGCGGTAGTCACTAAGGATTAATTGAATGAATTATGTTTTTCTGCAACATGAAATGTATTGTAACATAACATGTTAAACAGTGGATGTACAAAGTGATTAACGAGGGATTAAATTAAGATGATGAATGTATGCATGAAAGGATTAAAATGAAGGAAAAATTTTCAAGGGTAGAATTTGGGTCCTTACAAGTCAAGTCCAACTTGTCTTGCTTTGGTGATCTTCACGGCTAGACTTTAGGGGAATCCTCATCTTTTGCACAAATTGAGGTCACAGTTCCAACAACAAGGATCAAACATAACCATACGGCTAGCACATAGGGACACCCTTACCTATTGCACAATTTTAGGCCACAACTCCATCCACACTAAACCACACGGCTCCAAGCTTGCACTCCAAAATTTGGACAAGTCTTGGGCATGAAACTCTCTCTTGCCTTGAAATTGGGCCACACGAATCAAGAACCCCATGGGTTCACTACACCAAGTTTTCCATTTTGTGAAGGTTCACTACAACAAATAATTAAATAGATATATAGTGGAGGTTTTTATTTAATTTGTATAGGTTTTCACCCTCTACTAAGTCTAGAGTTCTGTGTCCTTCTCTTTCCATTTTTTACTTTTATCAAATAATCCAAATTCTTTAATCACTCAAATCCATTTTCAATGTTCAATCACTCAAATCTTATTTTTTTCCCATTTTTGCCACCATCTCCGATTCAAAAGCTCCATTTACAATTTATTAACCTTCAATTTCCTCTTCTATTGGATCTTCACCACTCCTAGGGTTTTGTCATTGAAATCAAAGCACAAAGTTCATTCCTCTTGAAACTTGTAATATGTATGTATACTGTCATTATATGGCGCGAATTTAAGTTTTGATTTAGATTCCAAATAGAAAGTGTATAAATATATAACATATAGATAACACATTGTAACCTTTCTTTCAATCCATACTAGAATCATCTATTCACTTTTCTTATCTCTAGAAATATCTCCATAACCATGGTGAAAACAAACTTTTACAAATGGTGGCAAAGAACAAAGTTGATCGTTATGATAACATATGTTGAAAAAGAAAATGATTTGAACTTGAAGGTATAGTTGCACACCAAGTGTTTGATAAATTTTTTGAGTGATTTGAACAATAATTAGATTTATTTTTCCCAATAATTTTGGTTAAGTAAATTGCTTCTTATTTATGATTCTAATTTATGATTCTTATTGATGAAAATTACATGGTGATATTCTTTCTTTCTTTTTTTGTATATAGAAATAGTATGTGTGAGGGATCTACCCTCTGTATAATGCAAATGAGTTATAGCACTTTTGTCTCAATTTGCACTATCACTTAAGATCAATGTGATCAGATCCAATGCCAACAGTCAAAATCAATGTGACATAGGCCGAATGGAACGGTGTAGAAATGAGGACATGGAGATCAAGAAGGTGTTTCTCAAGTACTGCCAAAAAAGACAACAAATAGTCACAAGTTCAAGTAATCATAAAATCTACAGCAGAAAATTTGTTGAACTTAGGTTGCTTAATTGCATGAAATTTTATATACTGATGTGTTGTACTAACTAGAATTTTCTTTATCATCAGTGACAACACTCATGACCCTATGATTCGAGCCACATACAAAGTTAGGATTTTGGGAAGCATACTCATTTCCTTTATAGAAAACGCCCACAATCTTCTTCCTTCCACCGGAGGCCTATTCTCCATAGTAGAAGATAAAATAAAGAACACAATTTTTTGTTATATAAATAGTGGACATATATCAAAACAATACTTATAAGATGTTGTTCATATGTGCTTTTCACTAATACTTATTCATGTGTGTTCTAGTATCACTTATTAATTCTAAAGTTTACACTATCACTTTCTTGATGAATCTCCACATTCTATGCAGATTTGATGTGTGTGTTGATGGACCGCCTGAAAGGCAGAATTTGAAAGAGGAGGCAAATATTTTACAACAAACTATAGCTGTCGAATATGTAAGTTGAATACTTTCGATTTTATACTGAGTAAACTTATTAATTTTGTTATACATGTGAATTTATATTAACATATTCACTGTGGATTGTGACAACAAATTTTAGATTAGACTCCATGTGTACTCTGAATGTGTCACTCCATGTGTACCTCATTGTCCTCCATGTGTACTCTGAATGTGTCTATTTCTCTAGATTAGACTTCAATATGATAAATTTGTTAACCAAATGCGTTGTTTTGTGGAGTTTCTGGATCTACTGTAGTTTTAAGAGCTCAAGTTCTATGCAACCTATACCTTAGCTCTGAAGCTTGATAAATTTGAGTAGTCCAGCTCTGAAGCTTGATAAATTTGAGTAGTCATTGTCTTCTGATTGTACTTTCTACATTTTTAAGAGGAAAGAAACAAATGCAACATGAATGTAGTTTTCAAGCACGTAGCTATTCCCTGGATGACCCATATCATGACAGTATACATTTTGACTTGGAAGATACAAGATTTGGAGAGAGGTCAAGTCTTAAGATGTTTGTTGGAAAGATAAATGAGCACGTGAACCTACATATAATTGTCATCTCTCTACCAAACCAATCTTCACCTTGTTTTCTATTTAAGCACATCTATTGTCCTAAAAAGTGTGTCAACTGTCACTTCTTGTGATTGGTTGGAAAAAATGCTAGTTTTCCATGTATGTCTTGCTGATGGTAAATTTGCATTGGAAAATAGAATCTTTAGTTTTCAAAGTGTTAAATGCATCACTTTCTAAATTAGCTTTTCTATATTTTACACCTTAACCAAGCCAAAGAGCAATAGTTAGCATTTCCCGTTTTATTATTTTAAATTTGAACAATTCCATATTTAATTACTCAATATAGCAAGCAGTATTTAATGGTTCTATTTCCACTTGTAGTGAAGTATCAGCTTGCAGCATAACAGAGTAGTCACAAGCTTAAAATTGTTAATATTAAGTCATACATCTTTGTAGAAAGCTCATGGAATTGAATACTTATGGGTTGTGTTTGTGTAGGGATATGAGCCTTATATTTGTGGGAGGGTTGCATTAGTTACACATTTTCATATTCTTCTTGGTTGTCTTCCATGTGATATAGAGTGCCATAACAATGACTCTTGGAAGAGCTAAGGTATGTATAGTGTAAGGACCCAAATTCTACATTTGAAATTTTTTCCTTATTTTATTCATCCTTTACACATTTCCCTACGACTTTTAAATAAAACGTGCTAACAACTTTAGTTAAGTCTCATTTCCATATTCATACCCATTTCATAATCTCAAAGTAACAACAACTCAACAATGATCCACTACCACTTCGGATTGGTAATTTCTCAACGATCCACTACCACTTCGAGTAGGTAATTTCCCAATGATCCACTACCACTTCGGGTAGGTAATTTCTCAATGATCCACTACCACTTCGAGTAGGTAATTTTCCCAATGATCCACTACCACTTCGGGTAGGTAATTTCCCAATGATCCACTACCACTTCGGGTAGGTAATTTCCCAATGATCCACTACCACTTCGGGTAGGTTATTTCCCAATGATCCTTACCACTTCGGGTAGGTAATTTCCCCAATGATCCACTACCACTTCGGGTAGGTAATTTCTCAATGATCCACTATCACTTCGGGTAGGTAATTTCTCAAAAATCCACATTTTAAAGAAGTTAGTAAACCATTGTAAATTCATTTCTGCTACATAACTTGAGCTAAAGTCGCCAACCATTCATGGTCGGCTAAAAATATATTTTCTTCTCATTGATACACAATCAATTTATAACTAGCAATTCCACACGTCCTTTATTACAAACATACCCATATATGTCTATAATAAATAAGCGACTTACATCTTAATCACTTTCTCAACCATAAAATTCACACATTTTCCATTACAATGTGCAATTGTGAACACTCAATTTTGTCCGGCCTATGTGCAGTAGTTCCAAACTCAAGAATTTCATGTCAAAAAGCGCATATTTTTTTCATATAATTCAAAACCAACTATATCTCCTTCAATTATTCAGTCCTATGACTAAACAGTTACAAAACCTATGTTATCGGTAAAATTATATTGAATAGACTACTTTGAAGCTAATTTGTGGTTACATATTCTTTTTAAAAGAAAACTTATAACATAGATAAAATGGTGGTAGTGATTGTTATTATGGCCTTACTTTTAATTATTGAGATGTAAAAAGAGAGAATTGAAATGGTTTTAAAGAGATATAATTTGCAAAGGAAATGTAAACTGTTGGAAGATTTTATTGACAGTTACCAACATCTATGATGGTTTATTGTAGTAACTCGTCCAATGTATATTTACCACTTACATAATTAACTACACAATAATTACAGATACTTCCATGTGTACATCTGCTTGGTAAGAAGTGAGCATCCTCTTCCATTCACGGCTTTGGCCTTTTCAAAGAACTACTCCCAGAACTCTATAGATTGAAGCAGTTTCTATTATTCTGCCAGAAAAAAAATAAGATTTCAAAAGCCAAAAAGAAACAGTTTATCAATTAGCAAATGACAATAAGAAGGATGGAAAGGCTGGTCAAAAGTCACAAACAAGAACTCAAAGATGGCAACATGGACATGCATAATCAGAAACTTCAGTTACACTTGCAATAAATTAGTAGTTTTGATTAGTGTTAAAAAGGGGTAATCAAGCAATTGACAGGTGTGTCTATTGTCAGCTGAAAGGACCTTATAAATCAATTCCCAACCCACTCAACTATAAAAATGAAGGCAAAATCAGACAGAGAGGGAGACTTAACCACATAACAATACACATACTCTGTCAATATATACATATACTGTGGATTCAGAAAAATTCCCATAACCATAGCTTCCATCCAGAGAATTCTTATCTTCCTTATCCATCTATATACATATCACATATACATATACATATACATCTACAACGTCAAGCTACCTATCCATACACAACAAAACTGAAATCAAAGAGAGAAAATCAGACACGCATACTTAGACATATATTGGCATATGCAATACACCACACAATTCCATCAGAAAGCATACGCTCCTACACCATACAATTCCATCAGACATACACCAACAAATCCAGGAAAAAGCCTCTACTACCTATCATACACACACATACATCACACTAACAGTGTATACAATCTTCATTGTCCATCATATAGCAAAATAGAGAATCACACACAGGAGAGGCATAACTACAGGTTCTATCATATATCATACATATTACATCAACAAGCAAGAACAGGCAAGATAAGGATCCAACAAGGATAACACCAACAAGGTCACATACTAAGACATACGGTCTCCGAAATCTTTGGGTTTGGCGTAAACGATACCCATTCGTGAATGAGAATCGGAAACGGAAAATAGAGATATGGAGAAGATGATGGTTAACTATTCTTTAAACCACCATGGTAGAGGTGCTCACTCGCCAATGACCCTCTCTGTTGCCGCTGATGGAGAAAACGAAACGGAGAAGAAGACCAGAGCAAACCCGCTCCTCCATTGCTACGGCTGCTGCTTCTTCCTTCTCCATGGTCGCTGTCGCTGGAATCGGGAGAGAAGGGAAGAGGATCTAGGGATTTCGGATCCCCCTTGGTGAGAAATGAGGCTAACCAAATAACCTCTCTCTGCCAAATTCATTACATTCTCTTTTCGTTTATTTTAATTCATTTCAATTCTTTAATTGCACCTTTGCTTCTTATTTTTACATTTTTATGTTTATTTCATTAATCCTAACAAATGCTTGTTTTGGCAAATTACATTAAAATGAAAGATAATCATATATTTGGTATCACATATCTTGTATTATTTGGAAAAGATAATTACTAAAATGAATTTCAGTGGAATTTTTATAGTAAGGTTGTGGCCCATGTTGTCTCTAAATTCTCTGAAAATGGGAAGGAGGTCTACGACCAGTGCCGTCTCTAAACTATTAATTCCATATCAAACATTTCAAAGCAAAATTATTGTATTATTTACTCAAATGATTTTAAATGGAGTTTTATAGTAAGGTTAGGGCCCGTGATGTCTCTAAATTCTCTGAAAATGGGAAGGAGGTCTACGACCAGTGCTGTCTCTAAACTATTAATTCCATATCAAATATTTCAAAGCAAAATTATTGTATTATTTACTCAAATGACTTTAAATGGAGTTTTATAGTAAAGTTAGGGCCCGTGTTGTCTCTAAATTCTCTGAAAATGGGAAGGAGGTCTACGACTAGTGCCGTCTCTAAACTATTAATTCTATATCAAATATTTCAAAGCAAAATTATTGTATTATTTACTCAAATGACTTTAAATGGAGTTTATAGTAAGGTTAGGGCCCGTGTTGTCTCTAAATTCTCCGAAAATGGGAAGGAGGTCTACGACTAGTGCCGTCTCTAAACTATTAATTCTATATCAAATATTTTAAATAAATTTAATCAAATGATTTAAAATGGAATTTTTTATAGTAAGGTTATGACCCGTGTTGTCTCTAAATTCTCTGAAAATGGGAAGGAGGTCTACGACCAGTGTCGTCTCTAAACTATTAATTCCATATCAAAAATGTTTTAGTAAAAATTTATTTTATTACTCAACCAAATCGATACCTTCAAATCAACGAAACCAACCAATTAATTTTCGAACCAGAACTACGTAGCCTTGATTTCCCTATTGCACCTAGGGATACGTAGGAGCAAGACGAACTCTTGTCAGGCGCAACAATAAAAAATAGAACATTTTGTTTTTATTTACTGGTTTTTAATAAAGAATTTTTAAGGGTATAAGAGTCCATGTTGTTAGCGAGGGTACCGTTTTAATACGGGCGGACGGGGTGCTAATACTTTCCCCGATCCGTAATCGACTCCCGAGCTCAGAATCTCTGATTAAAGGCCAAATTATCCCAATTGGGCATATCTAGAGTTTTCTACGTTTTAACCGCAAAAAATGTAGTGGCGACTCCAAATCAATTGAAAGAGGTAGAAATCGAGTTCGCCTCTCCCCAAGTCGCAGGGCCGGTCTTCCAATCGAAAATCGAGTCGCGACAGCAATTAAAGACTTATCCTTGGTGAGAGTTGGGTCTGTTCCTTGGTAACTTTGCAAGTTCCTCGGAAACCGCCTCCAACCTAAGGATCTTTCCTCATCCCCACCAATAACAACAATGTTAGTCATTTTATTCAAAATAACACATAATAACCCATATTTCATCTTTAAACACACAAGAGGTTCATACATTTTCAATGTTTCCAAAACTACTTCATTAATAGTTTCCAAACATCCAAAATACACCTACACATCTTCTAATCAACATTCAACATTCATAAATCACATTCTAAATCTAACATTGCACCCATCTTCTCTTTTACCACATTCTCTTTTTGGGGGTTGTGGGGTTTTCATGAATCAACCCACAAACCCTTTCCATTCTTTGAATACTAACTCTAAATCAAAAGTTTACAAGAGAGAAACTAAATAAAACGAATCACAACTCAAAAGAAAGAGTTTCCATGGTTTCTCATACTTTGAGAAGAGATCCCATATATTCCAAAACAAGTTTGGAAGGGAGAACGAGAGTTAGAATCAAGAGATTTACCTCTTCTCAAGCTTCTAGATTATTCCCACGAGTTCTTGCTCTCAAAATCACCTTCTCCTCTCTTCTCTCTCAATTTCTAACCCTAAAATGTGTTTGGGGTTTCTATGATAAAGCAAACCCGTCGGGTTCTCCCTCAAGCGAGCCCATTCTCGCTCAAGCGAGAAAATCCCGCCTTTTTAAATTTTCAGTTCTGGCTCTCTCGCTCAAGCGAGAATCTCACAGCCTCGACAGATTCCAAAATTCCATTTCTCGCCCAGGCGAGACAACTCTCGCTCAGGCGAGACCACTCTCGCTCAAGCGAGAATACTTCAGTATAGCCTAGTATTTCACTCACCCAGGTGAGCCACTCTCGCCCAGGCGACACCTTTCTCGCTCAAGCAAGATTCCCAGGACCGATACTATAATTTAATGACTTTAAATTTGGAGTGTCACAAACAGCGCTCATGATAATGAACGT